GCAGTGTTAAAGGATGTCAGAAGATCCTTTAGGTGCAGCAGATGACGTGGAGATGGGTTTTCCTCCACAAGCGCTCAATTTTTCTGCATTGGCGCTTCAGGCTGCAAAGGCTGTCATTAAACCAGGGAGTAGGGTTCACTGCAGGAACTGACCTGGTTCTGACAGGACAGATGTTGTCCAGAATGGAGAGGCAGTGCTAATTAAACTGAGAAGTTAAGGAATCTGGGTCGTTATCAGAAGAACAGGGTGGATCAAAAGCAGCAGAAAAATTGCTAGCTGTGCTCTCATTAAGAAAACGAGAACTAACCAGACGGCGAGCAGTAGGAGGGACGCAGAAACTGACAAGTTAAAGAAAATGCAATGGTGATTTGAAATATAAATGTCCTCAGGATAAACACTGTCAGCATTTAGACTCAGGGTAAAAACAAGGTCTAGAGTGTGCCCCCTGGTGTGTGTGGGGCCAGAAACATGCTGGGTAAAGCCAAAGGTGTCCATAAGGCTGGATAAATTAATTGCAAAGTGAATTGAGGGATCATCAACATGGATGTTAAAATCACCAACAATCACCAGTCTGGACAACTTCACAGTGGAGGATAGAAAGTCACTAAACTCCTGAAGGAAAGAACTGTTTGGACCAGATAGACGATAAACCACAGTGCAGTGGAACGGGTCCTCACGCCCGACTTTAATCAGCTGCAGTTCAAAGGAAACAAAGTGACCAGAGGTTGTAGAGCTACAAGGAAGATGGTCTCTGAAAACAACAGCTAGGCCTCCACCACGACCAGAACCCTGGGGCTGGCTAAGAAAAGAATAACCACTCGGGCAGAGTTCAATCAAACCAGAATAATCAGATGTTTGCTGCCAAACTTCAGTAAGAAACAGAAAATCCAGGTTTTTAGAGAGAATTATATCATCGAGCAAGAAGGATTTATTGTTAACAGAGCAGGTATTTAATAGAGCCATGCTGAGTGAGGAGGAGGAATCAGAAACTACAGAAACAGCTGGAGTTAGTGGATGTAAATTAGCAGGGTTAGATCCACAGTGTTTATAAAAACCACTTATGGAGGGAACAGGAGGAGAAACCACTGAGGAATGAGGATAAACCAACATTAAAAAACTTGGACGGATGAACCACGCTGGAATGCGGCCTGGCGGGAATGCGGAAGTGGCGCTCAGGTCACCAAACAAAGGACAAGAAGCTAGAAGATTGCGCCGATGTTTACCAGATAAACCACGCTTTAAGAGAAGTCTTATTCTCACCTGGATTCATGCTCGTTTACCTCTTTTCCTCCGACGTTTTCCCGGGACCGGACAAACATAGCTGGAGGTGCGTAGCTCGTGATCGTCGTTCGGCTCCGGGCCAGTGCGCCGCTCAGGTAAACAAACAGGATGGTACGTCCTCGGTGCATCATGGGCGATCGTGAACAAACGGAAGGACAAAAGAGTCTGGCGATCATAGGAGATGGTAGCAGGGACACTACTGAAGAGGATCGCAGACCGGAGCAAGGTGGAAAAGAGGAGGTTAGTGGAGAAAAGTTTGAAAAATTGGCCGGTGACTGCGGCTAAGCCAAGCACAGGCGCCATCTTGTTGCCGACCCATGTAAGAGTATAGTGAGAATTTTACAGTGATAAAATCTAATGTTTCAGTCATTTTGGAAGAAAGGTTATAATGAAACATATTTACTGTCCAGCTGGCTGTGGGTATTATCAGTATTTCTCCTTTCAAAACAAAGGAAGGATGGACGTAACATCTGTTTACCATCTGTGAGGTTGGGGTTGCCCTGTCTCCTGCGAGCTAATACTGCAATTGTAATTTGATGACGGCTGTTAAAAAGCTCCAGAGTTGTTTAAAGTGGTTTCAGTAACAAACTTTTACCACAGGATGCTAATTTTACTTCTTTTCTACATGATACACCTTTAAGCCAAGATGAAAAATAGACACAGAGGTTACAGGAAGTTCTCGTGACACACAAGGAAGTTTTTAAAAAAGAATTAGGCAAGTTAAAAGGAATGAAGGCAGAAAATCCATGTGAAAAATCTGCATGTGAGAAAATGCCAAATTCTAGTCTTCACTCAGTACCGTAAGTCACGAGGACTAAAGTTGCAGAGGATATTGAAAAGCTTCTGAAAAATGACATCATAACTGGACGAGCTACACAAAAGACTCAAAGAGGTAGGTCTGTTTCTACACAGAAGGAAATGTGAGTCCTTACATTATCCGGTGGATTACTTGGATCACATAATAAACACTGGTGGCCTGCAGCCAGTTATAAGCATATTACAAGCCATTGAGGAAGCTCTACCTCCTACGAACATGACCGAGCCAACTCCGTACAGAGTGGGGGATGTATTGTCACATGTGATGGGTCATGGAAGTGAAACACCAATATGTTTCATGGCAATGACTCTGACGACAGCTGACAAGTGTCACTCACAGCTCGATAAGGAGGGGGTAAGCTGTCATATTCGTGATCAAAAGAGTTCACAAGTACGTTTTAGGGACATACACTGACAATCAACACTGATCACAAACCGCTCCATGAAAAAGAAGCCAGTGTCACAGATAGGATCACCAAGGGTGCAAAGGTGGGTTACAGTGCTTGTTACAAAACAGGCAAATCTCAGGCTTTGAGCCGAATGCCAAAAACATGGAAGGAGCCAGACATCAAGTGAAAAACACATACGGGACAAAACTAACAGAAAGAACATCATAACACACACAGCAAGTGGAATAGTTTTTATTTATTTATTTTCCAGCAGGTACATCCATAACTACAGTCACGTTAGTACCTGTTGTTGTTATGGCAAACACAGGTAGTGTGTCAAACACTCTACAGACTGGAGACAGACGTGTCATAAGGTCATATGTGGATCAAATCAAGAAACGACATGCTCAAATGGTCATGCTCAAATCATTGGGGAGCCCTGTGATCGTCAGGTTCCAGAACAAGAAGCTGTGCTTGTGCCAACTTCCTCTATAGCTTCTTCTCTAGTGGGAAGGATGCAGATGAGTCTCAGGTACACTCTCCAGTGGTGGATCCACCAGACGAGGAAGTCAGACGAAGAGCTGATCCACTACCAGTGATGTGCTCCTCTGATTGTGTAAGAAAATCGACTCCTTGCCTGAGAGATTCTGTGAGTTAGCGAGCTCCATTAGGAAAGAGCAAGGACGGGACAAGAAGGCCGGGAGTCCACCCACCCACCTTCTGTTTCATTTTATTATTCATTCACTGTTGTTTAAAAAGCCCTGCGATGGCCTGGCAACCTGTCCAGGGTGTACCCTGCCTGCTTGCCCAGACTGCTGGAGATACCCCCCCCCCCCCCCCCCCCCCCAGACCCTGTGTGGATAAGCAGGTACAAAGTGCCTTTCAATAATTTGTAAGTGTTGAGATTAAAAAGAAAAGAAAGAAAGCCCCTGACTGCCAGTGTTTTTGAACATGTTTACTGTTTTTTGAAGAGTCACAGAATATTGTGCTCAATGACCACATATCAGTCAAAGTTACCAAAAGAAAGATTATACTCACTTCTTACATCAGGAAGAATCAGCTTGTTTCTATCTTTTTCCATTCTTTCGCAATCCATTGTCGAAGTGTGAGCTGCAGAAGCTTTTTCGGTCTGCGCCATGCATTTTTCATAACGGTGTTCCAAACCGATTTCCTAATTTGTGGATTGTCTGCTTCCTGATCACATGACTTGTGACACACATGGATGAAAATCAATGTTTGAGGCGTGATGTTTTACTCTCAAGGTGCGCAAGCTCGTTCCCAATCCAGCCTTCTTAAAACACGCAATTGGCGAATTTATTTGTCAATGGCAGCAAGCGGTTGGATTAAGAATGATGACTTGAGACACTAATGGCAGAGAATGAGTTAAAACATTTTAATTACATCTATTTTATTTTGGAGGGGTGTCCCTTCAGGCTATCCTACAATCAAATGAAACAGTAGCACACTTTGTTGAGAACGGTGTCCCAGTGACAGTTAATGCTTTGAAGGGAATCTTTTCTTAATTGACTTTGTTATGCAATGTTCTGTATATGTGACGTGCAAAATGTCTGCACTACCTGCAGGAGACGGGTGTAACTTACAATCTCTCCAAATGATACACTACCTTCAGATTTTTCCATCACTGTTAGAAAGAATGGTCAACTATGGAAAATATCTTGCTATATATGAGCAGGACAGAGCGCCGAAGCTTGGAGCGCGGTTGTGTGACACAAACTAATGCAGTAGAGCCACATTTTGGTGCACATAACTCAAGAGCACAGATACTGTGCAGAACCCTCAGATCTTAGGTTTAAAAGTTGTTTGGAGCCTGTCTGCGTTAGTTAAATGTCCCGAACTCTTCACTGTTTGGTGAGAAACAAATGGAAGCAAACATGCCACCATAAATTGTGTGGAAATCATATTTTTTAATATTTGTTTATTTATTGCCCATGTGCATTGACAAATACTGGCTGATAAAGAACAAACGTGTCCATAAAGTCTGAATAAACTCTTGATTTTCATGAGGTGTGTTGACAAAAATCGAGCCAAAGACTCAGTTCTAGCTGGTTTGTGGTCTCCCACTTGAAAGCAGTGGGTTGTGGATGTTGGCTGTCACCGTCTTGTTCCTTGGAAAATTATGCCAGTAAGATTTTGACTGAGAACCACGAACTATGGTAGGGACGTGTCAATCACAAGGTAGTCCCCCCAAAACATTTGTTGTACTTTTCATAAATTGTTTATTATCTGAAATTTGCAGAAATGTTGAAAAGTTAATGTTTTGCTGTGTGAATGATCGGAATTTTGTGCCTGCGTCAGGGAAAGAACTTCTATTGTAATACATTTGTCGTTAATTCCTTCCAGTTTAACGTCTTCATGGAGTCCAAGGTGTAATACTTACTGTTTCTGATGGTTTGTCACAACTCAGGCACTCTTTGCTGTTCTAGAATCAATGAAACTGCAAATCAGCTACACTTACCTTGTTGTATTTAACTAACATGCAATACCCTTCCACAGAAACCCCTCCTAAAAATCCTGTGGTGGAAACAAGTGAATGTTACGAGGGCAGAGGAGAGGGCTACAGGGGCACGGTGGACATGACACCAAGTGGAATCATATGCCAGAGATGGGATTCCCAGTTTCCCCATAACCACACATTTTCCCCTCAAGCTTACCCTTGCAAGTGAGTCAAAATCCCACATGGGAAAATCCATCCGCTCCATCACCCACCATGCACACAATTTCATCCTTGCATACAACGGGATGGCTTTCTCTGTGTTTTCCAGGGACCTGAGAGAGAACTACTGTCGAAATCCAGATGGACAAGAATCCCCCTGGTGCTTCACTACAGACCCAAGAGTCCGCACCATGTTCTGCACCAACATCCCTCGCTGCGGCACCCAAAACAGACCTGAAAGCGGTGAGAGACTCGACAGCTTTATTTGACTCTAAAACAAACTGGGGAGTACTTTCTGTAATTTTCATTCCAAACAGAGGAGACTGTGGTATTTTTCTATTTTATAGCCTGCAGGGTTTATATCAGACTCCAGCGCACATATCAGTTTGTAACCCTGTTTTCACCATCCCTGTGGAGCACTGCGGGACTGTGGGAAGGGACTGACCACCACATCTCTCATAAATAAAATCTGACAGCAGTTAAGGATGGCCTGGTCTTATTGGACAGTGAAAGACTGAGTTGAAGGATTAGTCTTGGTTCAGACTCTTTCTGGGGTAGCAAAAGATTTGAAAAGAGAGAGATGTAGATCTATGCTTGATTACACAAATTCAGATTTCCTGGGGGATTTCAAGAATATTTCTTTGAGACTCTGTGGCCTTGGATTTAAACCCATTCTGAGGTTGGGTTGGGAGCTTGTGGTTTACCCTTGAGGGTTGAATACATTCCCATATAGAAATAAAATACAGGATGACAGACAGTTTTAAAAACATATGCATGTCCCATGTTATTTTAGGAGCTATTGTGAATGATTTACATTGTGTTCCCAGCTTTGCATGTTCTTTATTTGATGGTTACAGTAAGTTTGTTCTTATCTGTATCCAGTTTTGCAGCTGATTATTTCATGTAATACATCAAACATCATCACTGATATAGTTCTCAGCAACTACAGTTTGAGCTTATGTGGTTTCATTTTGTTTTGTGAAATGATAACTAAAACTTCTTTCACCCTTTCCCGTGTCTAAATCCAGACTGTTATTGGAGCTTTGGGGAGAATTACCAAGGAGAGAAGTCAAGAACTAGATCAAACCTGCCCTGCGCTTCCTGGAGAGACCACAGCAACAGGTTGGCCCATCGGATCATCTCTCATTCTTTGACTAATAACTTCTCCAAACTCTTAAGATGTAAAAACCAGACCTGCACCATTAATAAATCACAGACATGTGTCTCTGTCTGAAATAGAGATGTGGCAAAGTTATGAAAGAGGTTAACCTCCAGGGTCTAACAAAGAATATAGCATTTATAAGAGCTCTGTGGAATCAAATCAAACCTCAGATAATGAGCAGAGTTTCCACAGGAAGGATTTGTGCTCGTCAGTGACTGCTTCAATAAACAGAAACATAGTTCAGGGACACATTGATGCTACAGGCAGACACTTAGGCCTGATCATGTTCAGTGTCTCTGTTTCAGCAGGAGAAAACTGCTCCTGGGGTATGCCAAGGCTAGTTTCTCCAGCATCTCCAAACAACCAGTGAAGTCTTTTCCTGAAGATGACTTAACTGAGCAGGAATGACTCCCAGCGCTAACTTGGTTCAGGGATACACACTCCACTTCTCACCTTCGACCCAAAACTCTTTCTTTGTACTAACACTTCAAAGCCACTCTGCTCCTCTGTTTGGCTCCTGCTCGAGGGTCAAAGGTCAGGGTTAAGGAGGCAGAGTGAAAACTGGCTATGTGAGAAAACTAACATGTATAAATAGATTTTGAACTTTTCCCTGTCCTCAGCACATTTTTGCAGAGAAAAATGTTTCTCTTTAATTTTCTTAATTCTCTTTTATTTGTTGAATACGTAAAAAAAAAAGCAGTTTTAACCTTTTTTTAGTGGTTCATCTTTTTACAGATCCTTTTTTAGTGCCTGCATGGACAACGTTTGCTCAGTTTTGTAGTTTGACTGTCCAAATCCAGCCTGACTAAATGAATTTAGCGTGTTACTATTGTTATAAATCACTAGGGTTTCATTAATTAGGGAGTGTTTTTGTCTGTTTGTGTCCAGCGGAGACCGGGGCATGCTGACGGCAGGCCTGGAGGGGAACTTCTGCAGAAATCCTGACAAGGACAAACACGGTCCCTGGTGTTTTACCAATCATTCTGCCATTCACTGGGACTACTGCAACGTCAAACCTTGTAAGTACATAGATGTGCGCACTTAAAGTACTTTTACAGAGCCCCGTCAAGTGGATAAACACACCGAGAGAAAACAATATGTGACGCGGTGAAATTGAGGGTTTTTCCTTCGTCTTGCTGACAGATTTTGCCTCTCTAAATTTGTTTGCACTCTAATTAAAGGGCTCAAAATCCACGGGGGTGCATATCTCACTCAGTTATTACCTTTTGAATGCAAATTTTATTTTTTGCTTTCTGAAAAAACAGTCATGCTATCTTTTGTTTTCACCATGCAAATAGCTGAGTGTGCACTTAGTCAGATTTTTCCGTTAGATAGTCTATTCCAAAGAAATGAAATCTGAGTAAAGTGGAACTGCACACAAAAAACAAACTTGCTACTTTACAATGTCAGTCACCCCCCTACCAAAGTGTTACTGCACTCACACTTCCTGTTTGAAAAATGTGCCTAAAGGAGGCATCACCTGGCTGACCAGGAGAGGGCTGCTGAGGGAGTGACTGACAGTTAAACTCAGATCTTTAGAAGCAGCAGAACTAATCCCTGCAACCACCTCCCCTCTTAAATAAGCGACTAAACATTTTACTTTGTGTCTAAACCATTATGGTGAGTAAGTCTTAACCTTCAATTAAACATCTAGCAAGTGTCCTGTTGACTGTGGCTATCTCAGTACAACCACATTTATGAAATCACCTTGTTTGAGTTGATAGTCTGTAACCATTTGTTCATCTTGCTTACGTTCTTCAGGCGATGCTTCCCAGAATACCATTCCAGCAGGTGAGCATCTATATCTGATCTCCTCCAAACCTGGAAGTTTGCTTTTCTTCACAGTTGGATAAAGTACATTTTTAAGTTTAACTCTCGTGATAGATGATGCAGAAAATAGAATTTTTTGTAGACATATGTGTTCTATTCTTTGTGTGTGTTTTTTCCCATTTGACTTGAATTTTTGCGGACTAAAACTAAAACGAACACGCCAATAAAGACTAAATTTGGATGAATATTGATGGACATGTTTTTTGATGAATAAGAGATGACAACAAAAATTGACAGCATCAAAAATCCTATCAGAAAACGGAAAAGATGGGAGACCAGAAAAAATAACCAATCAGCAAATGGAACAGGCGGGACTAGACGAGAAACGAACCAATCAGAGTTCAGAGCCGGACGCTGTTTGAACAAGTTACCGCTAACCAGACATCATTGATGTTAATGGCGGTAAAAGTTATGTCTAAAGGGAAAAAGTGTTTGCGGCTGGGAGTAGAAGCAGTACGCATGACCGTCTGAAAAGTATTTGCTTGGCGAGAACACATCTGGGTTTCCCTTGGTTATAAAAGTGTTATGGTGTTGTTAGCAGCGAGCGGGGGTGGGAGAAGGGGTGCTGGATCTCAGGAAACCAACCTGAACCACGGAGCAGCGTGACGCGCATCTTGTTGTCTAATCATTTTCATTTTCATGGAGCCATTACTGTTATGATCAGCGTTCGATGTTCTTAGCAGAGCTTTTGTGAGGAATCTTGGTGAATCAGTCTAATAAAACTCCTGAAAACAATTCTTACCTTTAGCATACCTTTAGAGTAATACATTTTAACGTTTTGATGGTATGATGTCATTTCCTGTCATGATTATATATATTACTGCACATTAGACAGATTTGTTTATTTTAATAATATTGAGAGACACAATTTCAAACTCTTAGTGTTCCTTTTGGTATTTTCCAATTATACTTATTATTATAAAAACAATTATACATATGTAGAATTTTACATTTTTCTTTACAGTTTCAAGTAGGTGTAGTTAACATTTCCTTTACACAAATTGAAAATCACTGCATCAGTATAAAAATACATATATTTTAGTTGACAAAAAAAGACTAAACCTCAAACAAGTAGGATGGCTAAATTGTGACTAAAATGAAAAAAATCAAAAGACTCTAAACTAAATGAAAGTTTCTTGTCAAAATGAACACTGGTGTGTGTCTATGTTGCTGCTTGTTTAGCCGAGCCATCCTCTGTGGGATGTTTTGTCCATAAAAGGACCAGGATCGTGGGCGGAGCTCCAGTTGGCATATCAGGCGGGAGCTGGATGGTCAGCATACAGAAAGGGTAAAGCATTTTGTTTTTGTTCACTCCCAAACTTTTAATAAAACAGTAGTTTTTGGGTTATTGGGTCCAAAGGCCCATAAAGGGACCTTGCAACAAGAAGTCAGTGTAGATGACGGACTTTCACTCCTTCATCATGTACCAGTTATGTTTTATGTTCATTTTTTTTTTTCAGATCAGTTCACTGGTGTGGTGGTTCACTAATCCGAGAGGAGTGGGTTCTCACTGACCAACAGTGCTTCTCTTCCTGGTAATTTATGTAGCTATAACAGCTTTTTTCTGGAGATTTCACCAATGTCGAAATACTTGATCTCCCGTGTTGCTTCAGTGTTCCAGACCTCAGTGAGTATCGAGTGTGGCTCGGAATCTCTGATCTACAAGAAGATGCTCTCGACAGGTTGAAAAGGCAGGAGGTCAACATAGCTCATATAATATGTGGCCCTGAAGGGTCAAGTTTAGCTCTCCTAAGACTTGCAAAGTGAGTGTCTGCAAAAAATATGTTCAAAAATATTTAGATGATTTGTGTGCATATTAGTAACTGTCTGTTGTAATTTGTGTGTGCGTTAAAATTCCTAGGCCAGCCTTTCCTGCTGACAATGTTCATACTATTCAGCTGCCAGTGGCTGGATGCTCCATTCCAGAGGGAACGATATGTAAAATGTACGGATGGGGAGAAACTAAAGGTAATGATGATTTATGTAAGCATTCAAAGCTGTTTGCACATTTGTGTGCTCTTAGCTTGCAGGGTAATGTGTTTTATTGAGCATCTTTAGTCTTCCCTCCATTCATTTAACTCTTTTCTGGATGGAGTCAAGTTTTTCAATACTACAACATTGTAGAAAAACTTTTAGCCGTCCATCATCTCTTCAAATTTTCCTCCAGAATGATCTTAGATTTTACAGTAGTCTTGATGAGGAGTTTAGCGGTTCAAACCGTCTATAAATGTTTTCTGCAGATTTTGGCTGCTTGTCACAAATTTACAGTACCAAGCTATTTTCTACATAAAGTTTTCTGTTATTTGCTTGTGAAGTGGCAAAGAACTCATTTTAGAACAAATCCTCTGGCCCTTTATTTCCTGCAGTCTGGCTTAGATGATTTTTTTTCCATATTTTTAAGTTGAATCTTACAATGAAGTATAAAGCACTTTGGAGTCCTCTGGCTCTGAAAGGTGCAATTCAGGTGCGGATCATTTATCATTATCGTCATTTCAAAAGCAACAAAATAAATAAATTGAGAGGCATGGCAGTGTTTTGCACCATTAAGGTAATTCTTAGAGAGCTGCTAGTGGAAAACTTAAAATGTAGTAGACAATAACCTGAATGACAACCCTCAGATCCTGTCAGCTTTTTGATGGAATTTTTTTCTGTTAAATAAAGATCATAAAACTCTCAGATACGGTTCATCTGCTGCACATTTTTAAAAAAATATTTTTCCTCTGTTTTTTTATTTTTTTATTTTTACTGGTGTTTTATTCTTTTCTCTGCTTGTCTGAAGTCCTTGTATTTAAAAACACACTGCACAATATGCTAGCAAGGGAAGGTGCACAAATTAAACAGAATACGACATAAAGAGGAGCCAAAAGTCAAACACTTTTTTGCAATGTTAAAAGAAAGTAGGAGAATATAGGTGAAGACCTTGCACTTAACAGAAGTATTATGAGAACCCAGGCACCTGGAAAGTTAAAGAGCAAGTCACCCCCTACCAGAGTCTTACACCGCTCCCACTTCATGTTTGAAAAATGCAACAATTTCTGTTGCCTGGCAGACCGAGAGGGTGAAGCCACTAACAAATACACACACAGGCTCACTACAACATTTTGACATCATAATTACCAGCTAAAATCATAGTGTACCTCTTAGCCAATAGCGATGGCAGATTTAAATTCAAATGCAGTACAGAATTTTTACCTGACGACGGCAGGGGACTGTTCGGTTCTGGTTTTGCTGGACCTGACTGCAGCCTTTGACACTGTTGTCCATCACCTGCTACTGGAGAGGCTGAGAGACTGGGTAGGCCTATCAGGAACTGCGCTGGAGTGGTTCCCCTCTTATCTTTCTGAGCGTTCCTTTTCTGTGGCCGTCTTTAAGTTTAGGTCCTCCACCACCTCCCTTGCCCATGGTGTCCCACAAGGTTCTGTACTGGGGCCTCTGCTCTTCCTCCTCTATGTGCTTCCTGTTCAGCACATCCTGAGCTCCTTCAAAGTAATCTCCTACCATCTTTACGCAGATGACATCCAACTGTACATCTCCTTTAAGCCCCATGAGATGTCTAAGCTGCAGCTGTTACACACCTGCTTAGACTCTATCAAAACCTGGATGGCTGGGAGCTTTCTTCAGCTGAATGAAGATAAGACTGAGATCCTCATCTGTGCCCCAGACAAGCTGGTTCCCAAAGTAAGAGACTATCTTGGTCAGCTTGCTACTCACACCAAACCTTCCGTCAGGAATCTTGGCGTGACCTTTGACCCAGCTCTCACCCTGGATTCCCATGTCAGTTCTCTTGTTCGCTCTTCCTTCTTCCATCTCTGGAACATTGCTAAGCTGAGTCCCATTCTGTCCCGCTGTGAATTTTAAACAGTTATCCACACCTTCATCTCCTCAAACTTAGACTACTGCAACTCTCTTTTCACGTTTCTGGGAAAAACCTACCTGAACCATCTACAGGTGGTCCAGAATACCTGTGCTCGGATTCTGACCAAGTCCTCCAAACACACCCACATCACCTCACTTCTCCAGCTTCATTGGTTGCCAGTCAACTTCGGGGTTCATTTCAAGATCCTGGTTCTGGTCTATAGGGCCTTACATGGATAAGCACCATCATACATTGGTGATCTTCTTAGTCCCTACACCCCCAGCAGATCCCTGAGGTCCAGTGATCTAAGCCTACTGGTTGTGCAGCACACCAGGCTAAAGACCAAAGGTGACAGATCATTTGCTGCTGTGGCCCCCAGACTCTGGAACTCTCTCCCCCGAGCCTTAGATCAGTGGACTCAGTGGACTCCTTTAAGAAGCAGCTGAAAACTCACTTGTTCAGGCTTTTGTGTGACCTTCATCACACTCTCCTTGTTCTGCTCTCCCTACCTATTCCACCTTCATCAGGATCCACAGATGTCCCTCTTTCCTATTCACTCTCTCTCTCTTCCTTTACATTTTTAATCCCATTTGTCTATTTTTTGCTCATTTTAAATATATTTTTAATCATTTTCTAAACAATTTATTTATATTTTTACAGTTTTTTTGTTTTTGTGGAGTGCCTCGTGATTTTTATCTTGAGAGGCACTATAGAAATGTTTTTTTCTTCTTCTTCTTCTTCTTCTTCTTCTTCTTCTTCTTCTACTACTGACAATTTAGGGAGATTATTTAAATTTGAACTAAGATGCACTAAAGTGCCAAATTGTTGACTGCACGTGTCTACAGCACAATTAGACACTCATTTATATAGTTTATCAGCAAAAATGTTGATTTGGGGGTGACTTGCTTTTTAAGTAATTTGTATTAAATGCATGGTTTAAAAGTTAAAGATGGGGCTCATTGAGAAACTTTAAATACTTGTTCCTTTTAAAAAATACGGTCGGTCTCTCTGAGTCTCACATGCATGTTGAACGTGAAAGAAGTCTTAAACCCCTATTTCCTGCATTTTCTGCCCAACGTATGTTGATATGGAAACACTCGGGTCAGAAAAAAGCACAGATCTACATCACAAAACTAATTTGCATTCCCAGGCTCACCCATCTTGGCTCACAAATGAAACAGGCCCTATTGTTGTCTGAAAGTGCCCTTCCTGCTCTTAAGGCTGTTTTATTTTAGATTCATGTTTCCACTGTGTCGTGCTTTAGAAGTCACTTTGGACAGAAGTAAAAAAAAAAAAAATAATAATAATAATACAGTAACACCAAAAACAAAGCAGTAATATGACTCTGGACTTTTTCAGGCACAGGCCACGATGAGGTACTGAAGGAGGTCAACTTGCCCATTGTCAGCAATGACAGGTGCAGAGAGATGCACAGAGGGATCTTCCATATCACCAACACCAAAATCTGTGCAGGGGGGAAGAAGAATGAGGGAGTGTGTGAGGTATGCTATTGCTTATAATGCTATATTATTTTGTCTGTGAGCTTTTTAGCCATTTATACATCAATTCATATGAAGAATCATGCCATAAATGTTAAACACACATAGCCAGTAAGAACTAGGAGTAAAGGAGCTGTTGTGAATCTAGGAGGACAATTGTGCCTTGATTCAACGCAACTCTTTCAAACCCAAGTTTGATCTAAATCTCAAACAAATGTTATTTAAATCCGCAGGCTTAGTGTTCAGTCTGTTGTAAATAGAGCAGCTGGAGACTTGCTCTAAATTTCATCAGATATCAAAGATGTTTGAGGTTTCTGACTCTGTTAGAGGTCTGCCCACGTTCGTGCTGCCTGTCACCGAGCACATCAAATACATTGTTTGTTACAATGAACTCTCAAAAATGTAAACGGAGGTGACTGCTGTTTCTCAGTTGCAGACACACAGACACACACATAAATGTTCTGGATTTCCTTTACTTTTGCAGAGGGATTACGGCGGCCCTCTTGTTTGTCAGGATGGCGAGATCAGAGTTATTGTTGGCGTAAGCGTCCATGGCAGAGGCTGTGCTCGGGCCAACCAGCCTGGCATCTTCATCAACGTGCCCTTCTACACACAGTGGATTTACAAGGTCTTCAAATACTACCCCAACCCTGAAATTGCTTAGAGACTGAAGTCAAGTAAATCATTATAAGGCGACTAAATCAAAACCAGAGCCTGTCTTCCTTAACTTCGGTGGGCATCTGGTTTTTATGACTTGTTCACCTTTGGGGTCTGCAAATGAAGATGAAGGTCCTCACTTACACTTTGATGTAAGACATACAATCATCACAAATACCTTCATGATCCTACTGTAATTGTCACCAGTGGTGTATATGAAGGTGAACATGTGTTGCTCCTCTTAATGCACACTGGAACACCCACTAAGTGAGAAGTTTTAGAAGATTGATGTCCATCTTTTTTTCTCTCTCATTTTTCTACCAAACTCCCAGATACGTGTGTGTGTGTGTGTGTGTGTGTGTGTGTGTGTGTGTGTGTGTGTGTGTGTGTGTGTGTGTGTGTGTGCGCGAATACACTCCATTCCTGAAATGACTTGAATAATTTGACACCAAATGCAGTTGTTTTAATGGCACATCACTGAGGTGATCAGAACAGTATCCAAAGACAGGACGTCATCAAGGGCACACTTACCCAGCTCTATGCATCTTCAAGCGGGCTTAAATGAACTAGTCCTTCATGTAAATAGTGTTTTGAGTGTATTTGTTACACTCTAAATGTAATTTAGGTCTTATAGATCTACGACAGGTGATTATGAATGCTGTAGCAGGCAAATTAAGTGTTTTCACAATTGAAGTTATACGCAAAGTACCTTCGTTCCTGTACTTCTAAAACCATCACAATCCCACCGCCTGCAGATATGGAAGCTTTTGTTAGGAATCCATGAATGAACAGTTGTCTAATGCTTATTGGAATTTAAAAAGTAATGTTACTAAACTGTATCATACATGTGTATATGTCCCTCTTTTTTATGATTTTTTTTTATTATGTGTCAGTTCATTGTATGGTTGCACCTGTTTTTGTTTGTTTTCTGTATCAGTGTCTATGCCAAAAGACGCCTGCAGAGGCAGAGGAAGTGACTTGGTCTGTGCCTGTTTGAGCCAAAGGTGAATTAATTATCCCTGCACTCAGACCTTGGCAGACCCCCTCATTCTTTCCACTCTGGATGTTAATGTCACAAAGTCTGTGCCTTCGACTCTGAGAATGGGACGGCCTTTATGTCAGAGCTGTTGGTAATGAGCTTCAGTGGAGCTCGAACAAATTATTAGACCGTTTGTAACAGGTGTGAGTGACTGAGATGGATTTGTAACATATACTGTGATTGTAAGTGTGTGTGTGTGTGTGTGTGTGTGTGTGTGTGTGTGTGTGTGTGTGTGTGTGTGTGTGTGTGTGTGTGTGTGTACATATGCTGCAGCTGCTACATTCTACAGGTTGTACAGTATTGCCTAACGTTTTCTGTAAATAAATAGTAATTTTAAAATCCATCCTATACAATGCGCTTCATAATAAACAGCTCCAACAATAATTTGAAATTATTTTGCTCTTTATTTTTTTAGAGTCCTTTTCTCTGCATCACATTGAAGCAACTGAACGTTACCACATGTGATTTACACACGTTTTTGTTTTGCTTTTGCATTATTATGCAACTGTGACTCCCTTTATTATTCCCATCTCATCCAGAGCTGCAAAACTTTTCAACAAGAGGCAGTTTTTACTCTCACATCAGCCCCTTTTATCTCTCTGCAACAGCTTCCTGTAAACTTTACACCTCAATCGAATCTCCTCATCCTTGTCAGAACAGTGATCAGGCTCCCATCTTAAATCAGTGAAGTCGTAGTTGTGTGATTGCATTTAATCTGATTTAAAGCACTTTATAACTGATATTGAATTTGTTGTATTTAAATAGGGATCTGCTTATTTAATGACATACTTCCTTTGAATAGCCAACTTCTGACAATAAAATATTCTATCTGAAAAAAAAAAGTCTGCTCAGTACAATTAATAAAAAGGTTGTTGCACATCTTTGCCAGAAGATGGCACCACAGCAGCACAGAGGAGGTAAAGGATGAGTAAGTAATCTTGCTAATCTCAATCTCTCTTTCGTGCACACACAGTCAGTGACACAATGAAGCACATTCATGTTCCTGCTTTTTATATGCCACACTCCCTTCCACTTACATGACAAGGCACATAGCTACAAATGTACATATTGATAGCATTCTACAATATAATATTACTAAATATATTTTCCTTCCTCCCTACTCAGCCCATAGGAGACAGATGTGTGTGAGAGGAAGTGAGAATGAAAGGTTGAAGAGCAGCAACGGTGAGTTGGAGATTAAATGCTGAATCCATTGATGCTGTATTAAGGACCTCATGGAGCAAGCAGAAAAACGCACTTGAATTAACATTTTTTTTCTTTTGCAATGCACTGCTGAGGTGTGTGCTGATGTAGACACAATGCAAACATGCACATACCCACACGTGCGCACACACACACACACACACACACACACACACACACACACACACACACACACACACACACACACACACACACACACACACACACAAACAAGTACTGTTATTGAGGCTGTGAGGCATCAAAGAGGGATGACGTCTTAGAAGTTTTCTTTCATCTTTAGGTCAACTGGATGAAAACTGCAGACAAGAGGACAGAAAGCACCACACCCACCCCAGTGCTTAAATGTACAAGGCCAGGGGATGTTCTGAAAAGTTACAGATGTTTTATTAGGAAATCCAGTTTGAGATTTTGAACATTTATTTTCCACATTACCTTAAAGCTAATCACGCAGTGCACTCTAATAGAATTTAGTAAAACTCATTAATGTTACTGTTAAAAGGGGAATTGAATTTAAAGGTGTGATTCACTTGTTAAATAATACATTTGCAGTGGCCTCTAGTAGGAATGAAGGCCTGTCTCGTCTCTGATCAGACCAATTCACTTGATTTATTTTGCAATAATGATGTTTTATGGCCAGAAAAAAAAAACACACAAGCCTGAAGGAGTTCTGCCGTGTATTGGAGATGTTCATGCTAATGGTTAGCTTCAACTAGCAGAGACGTTCTCTGATGTTTCCTGGACGCTAAACCAACAACAGCCTTCCTTGTCGTGAGTCAAGATCGGTGAGTCCATGAGTGTTAAGTAACAGTTTGGTACATGCAGACGTAGCTACTAACTACGTTTGCATGCACCAAATTTCCCTCATTCCGATTCAAATCTTGGTTGGGCGGAAATCCCAAATCTCTGAGATTTCATGGACACCAACTGAAATTAACTGATCGTGCCATGAGTATACATGCATCAAGCATTTAATCAGATTAAATTGGTTGCGCTTGCACAGAGTAGTGGACAAATGCCATCTTGACTGCAAGTCTTTTGCCTCGCATTTTATTTTACTATTCTGGAGCTTTTTCCGTTGACTTATGTTTTGCCCTACATTATGGACCTTCTTCGCACATTTATCTGTATGCTTTTGTTTTTACTCATCGCTTTAAGCTACAGCCAGTGCGTAATGCTACTGCTCAGCAACAGACCACTTCTCTTTACCTCCCGCCATGTTTTGGATTTGTGCTGAGCATCTGCAAAGGCAGAAAGACGTTATGATGAAGTTGCACACGTGCACAGTGGGCATTATTTTACTCCAACAATCCGAGTGGGTGTGCACGTGGACGTCACTCCGAAAGATGATCAGACAAAACCACCTCTCCCAATCGAAATTAAATTTCATTCTGACCGGGCCGTATCTATACAGAATATTATGATTGACATGTGTACATGAAGAATTTTTGATCTGATAGGGTGTTCATTCTGATTACTTGTCATGTAAACGTAGCTAGTGTGACGTAGATCTGCTGCATGAAAAACTCTGAGTGATCGGTTATTAACAGAAATAATCATTTTAAAAAAGACTTTTAAGTGAGCCACATCTTAAAATGACATTGAAATGAGTCTAGTTCACTTCAGTTTCAAAATGAGTTTTTATGCAATTAATAATTGACCTGATTTAGAAAACAATTCTAATCCCCGAAACTTTCATGATATTCCAAATAAAAGCAGTTTAAACAACTAACACCATCCTAACTTTCACATGACACGGTTATTTACATAAAATCGGGCAGTTATTTGAAGCACAAACAGGTTAGGCAAATGAGTTATGGGAATTACAACAGCTTTCTTTCTGATTGAAAATCCATAATTGGCTCTGCCAGGAAAAAAACATGGAATGTAGATGTGACAGCAATGTAAAGGTAACAGAATATAAGCTGCATTTTGTTTTTAGAGCTGGAGTTGTCTTAAAACACTTTGACCTAATATGTGGTTTATCTGGTAAAGATACTATCACAATATTTTTCTGAAACTCCACATCAAAAGATCTATCCTATTGGTCTGAGTGCAAACACCCAAAGGCTAAATATAAATCATCGAAAAACGGCTAACGTGGATATTACAGCTAATATTAAGTAATGCACTGACCATTTTGCAGTTCAAACGTGTCTAAATTTCATGTCTTGAAAGCGGAAATAAGTATTTGCTTTCTAGACAAATATTGGATGCTATTTTAACATCTAACTACAGACCCTGCTTCCCATTTTCCTCCAGGTAACTGAATGTAGAAATCTATATTTCAGTCTGTCTTAATATTTGTGTTACAGAATTTAGTGAGTCAGCCAAGTGGGAAACTGGACTTTGGGAAAAAAGGAAAATGATGGAGACTGATTATTCCAAGGAAAGGCTTTTAAAAGCCACAGTACACCCATTGAAGATCATTGAGTTTTAGATTTAGTTAGGAATATCTTTCATAATCTTATTGGGTCATCTTTGTAATTTCATTTAAACTTTTTAAACTCATTTTAGACACCGTCTCTTTTCCCTGTGGTCTCATCAGCTTTGAGGCTTTCAGTGTGGTGTGTGTGTGTGTGTGTGTGTGTGTGTGTGTGTGTGTGTGTGTGTGTGTGTGTGTGTGTGTGTGTGGTGTGTGTGTGTGTGTGTGTGTGTGTGTGTGTGTGTGTGTGTGTGTGTGTGTGTGTGTGTTGCCAGAGTAAATCTAAGTGCCATGCTCAACAACCAAGGAAAAGCAGTGTGTAAGATCATAGTGAGGCTTTTAAAAGTCTCTCTCCCCCCCCACCCCCACCCCCACCCCCATCGTTATTACATCTTGAAACCTGACACACCTTTCTCTCCCAGTGTTTTCTTGGTGTTTGACTAAACACATGCATGAATGGCATATGAAATCTTTTTATAAAACAAATAGGTTCATGACAACATTGCGTTATCGTTGTCATATTCCAAATACAAAATGGATTTAATAACTATAAAAGGTGTTTTTGCACAGGTGTTTGTGTTCCTAAAAGGACGTGGAAGGGTTTAATTACTTTTGTTTTATTTTAAAATTGTACCATGCGTATATCCACAAGAATCAAAGTATGTATTACTCATGAAATTAAAGTGTTGTTTTGACTGACTCACTCCGAACTGTAATTTTCATTTATTTAGAAGTCCAACCGAACAAAGCACTTTATTATGCGTCACTTTGTGATCTGATAATAGAAGAATCTTAAGCTGCAATAACTTCAAGTAATATTTTTCTGTATCAGCTAATCAAGCTTTGAAAATAGTACAATATGTTGAGTTCACTTTTTTCACAATGTTGCATCAATTTTCAAGTTCATTCAGTTCTTATCCAGATAAAATCCTTTTGAATGTTTTCTTGGGATTATCACTGGTATTATGACTGAGCTGATTGATTTATGATTGACTCAAACGCTGCATGGTGCAGTCTCTTAGCTGCAAAACAAGCCTTAATCATCTCCATTTCACTTCCTCATAAAATGTATTATTAAATGTTTGTGCTGATGGGCTACATTTGGGTTTTGCGAAATGTGGCTGTGGTCATCATTTACTACGAGAAATGTGGAAGAAAAAAAAAAGGTTGTTTTTAAGTCTATACTAGAGAAGCACCGATATAAATTTTTTGGGTCAATACTGTTATCCAATTTTACTATCACTGTTATGGCCGATAACCAATATGTTGACAAATACCTGTATATATATATATATATATATATATATATATATATATATATATATATATATATATATATATATATATATATATATATATATATATATATATATATTTTACTTTCACACACACACACACACACACACACACACACACACACACACACACACACACACACACACACACACACACACACACACACACACAAATATATGTGTGTGTGTGTGTGTGTTTGTGTGTGTGTGTGCGTAAATATAATGGTATTGGTAAATACAGGTCCTTCTCAAATAATTGGCATATTGTGATAAAGTTCATTATTGTGTGTAACGTACTTATAAACATTAGACTATCATATATATTAGATTCATTACACACAACTGAAGTAGTTCAAGCCTTTTATTGTTTCTAATATTGATGATTTTTGGCATACAACTCATGAAAACCCAAAATTCCTATCTCAGAAATTACCATGTCATGAAAAGGTACTATAAACTAGCTATTGACCTATTCATTTGAATCACCTAATTAACTCTAAACACCTGCAAAATATTCCTGAGGCTTTTAAAAACTCCCAGCCTGATTCATTACTCAAAACCTCAATCATGGGTAAGACTGCCGACCTGACTGCTGTCCAGAAGGCCATCACTGACACCCTCAAGCAAGAGGGTAAGACACACAAAGACATTTCTGAATGAATAGGCTGTTCCCAGAGTGCTATTTCAAGGCACCTAAGTGGGCAGTCTGTGGGAAGGGAAAAGTGTGGCAGAAAACTCTGCACAACGAGAAGAGGTGACCGGACCTTGAGGAAGATTGTGGAGAAGGACGATTCCAGACCTTGGAGGACTTGCGGAAGCAGTGGACTGAGTTTGGAGTAGAAACATCCAGAGCCACCGTGTACAGGCGTGTGCAGGAAATGGGCTACAGGTGCCGCATTCCCCAGGTCAAGCCACTTT